TTTTTTTTTTTTTTTTGCAATTGCATTGCGTTGCATTTTCTTTTCATCCTTTAAATAAAACAAGACGTTTTTCTTCAGGTGTTTTTCAGGTGTAAGCTGAGTCTTTGAGACATGCTCTCATTTCACATTGTAAGTCAAGGTGAAGGATGTAACTCCAGTGAGGAACACTGGCGCTCTTCTCCAGACCAGCACTGTCCCAGGGCACCCAGAGAAGCGTTAGCTTTGGTGCTGGGTTGGGATAGTTCTGTTAATGCCTGATCCCTTCTTGAGTAATGACTCTGCTCAGGAAACTGTGCCTCAGGGCTCAGATTTCCCCCCATTTAAACTTGTGGCTTCTTGGCCTGGAGCTTGTTCCCTTCCCAAAATGTTTGTTAGTGCAGTGGCTTTTTATGGCACTTTATGGAAAAATTAAGGGGTGGGGGTGATGACCGTATTCTGCAAATCAGCCCGTCTTTAACCTTCGTTTACTGGAATTTGAGTCCTCTGCATACCTTGTTAGCAGAAAAAACTTCAAATATATTTTTTTCCATCCAAGCTCACAATTGGAATGTTCTTTACCTCTTAACTCAGGCCAGGACAAATGTGGCCCAGGTTCTGAAAAACAGCCTCTTATTTAAAAGGGTTGTACAGCAGCCTTTGCACAACATTTACGACTGCAGTTATCTACACGTGGATCTGGAGGGGGCCTGGCCTGTGAGAATCAGAAGACAGAGGCCACTTCATCCTGCAAATTGCTCAGGCGGGCAGTGTTGGTGAACTCACCCGTCACTCCCCTGAGCCCCTTTCCAGCTTTAAAATCTTTCCTGGGAAACTATTGGATTAGAAAGGAGCCCTTCAGATGGTGGCAGTTTCTCTGCTTCTGGAAAAGGGGCTTAGGAGACTTAAGATACAACCTAGTCTCAGATAAAGGGCGGGAAGTCAGAGCTATTGGCTGTGGTACTAGCAGAGGAACAAAGGCCAAAACAAGGTCTTCCAGACATGTCATGTTTTTCTTAGAACTAGGGCCTATATTACACACAAATTTGAGATTATCTCCGACATTTATCTAAAATTAACTGTGGTTTTCAAATGAAAAACATTTAGGGGAGGATCAGATAAGAAGGAGGCCTATTTATAATACTTGCCACGGGGAGGGAAAGGGAAGAGAAAAAGCAAGAGCGAGAATAAGAGTGAGAGCAAGAAAGAGAGAGAACGAGAGAGATCCTTAAAATGATACTAAACATTCTTGCGACACCATAAGCTATAACTCTGACTCTCTTTCCCTGCCTTTTATGAATAACAGAAAAGAGAACTTTTATCCTGATCCACCGTAGTTTCTTAGAGAAAATCCCGCTCCCAACTACAATGCTGGATTTCCATCTCATTCTGGATGTAGCCAGAATTGGGTTACAATCATTCTGAACCACTGAGTGTGACACAAGTCAAAATCTTTGTTCCTAGAGATTGAGATATTAGTCAGTGATGTCTGGCTCTGAAATGGTTATTTATAGATTGGAACGACCTGGAGCAGCCAGCAGAGTGACAAATGAGGAAGAGGACAGAATCCAGCTGAAGAAGCTCCGGAAGATACCATTTGAAGTCTGAGTGCTTGAACTCGCAAAGAAAGCACGTGAGTACACACTAGCACTTGAGCTCTTCATTTTAAACAGAATAAAGAATATACTGCTAGTATTGTCATTTTACAGATAGGGAAATTCAGACTCAACAAGGCTACCTGGATAGAAAGAAAATGAGCCAGAATTTCAAGCAAGCCTGAGCTTAGAATCTACACCTTTTTTTTTTTTTTTTGAAACAGGGTCTTACTTCGTCACCCAGGCTGGAGTTCAGTGGTATTAGGTTGATACAAAAGTAATTGCGGTCTTTGCCGTTTAAAACTAGAGCCTGAAACTGCAATTAATTTTGCACCAACCTAATGCACTTACCAGAGCTCACTTAAGCCTTGACCTCCTGGGCTCAAGTGATTCTCCCACCTCAGCCTCCCAAGTGGCTGGGACTATAAGCAGGCATCACCCTGCCCACCTGCCCAGCTAGCTTTGTGTGTGTGTGTGTGTGTGTGTGTATGTGTGTGTGTGTGTGTGTGGAGACAGGGTTTTGCCATGTTGTCCAGGCTGGTCTTTAACTCCTGAGCTCAAACTATCCTTCTGCCCTGGCCTCCCAAAGTTCTGGGATTACAGGCATGAGCCACTGTACCCGGCCCAGAACCTATGCTCCTAACTTCCACACCAATTGACCTTGATTCAGTCATTTTCATTTCTATAGCACTTGGCATAATTTCACTTTGCACACAGTATCTATAGATAATCATTCCAGGGCAAAGACAGAAAGATCTAGGCCTGTGTGTGTTGAGGGAGGGATGTATTCAAAAGAGAAACTCCTTGAGGACAGCAGCAACAACCGTTCAAATAAGACACCATCTATGGAGCACACAGTGTGTGACCGCCGCTGCATGCTACTGCATATAATCGTCATAAGATAATTTATGTTATTACATGTGTATTACTGCATGTAATCTTCACGTGTTATTGCCTCTAACAAGTTATGT